CAAAATGGCTTCCACAATGTTAATCCGTCAATTAACAAAATGAAACATAACTCCTCATAAGTTAAAGAAATGACTGCTTTAAGGTTTAGTGATCAAATCCAAATCAATAATTTATTTGAATTGACACAAAGGGATATGAAACATTAATTTCATACTATTAATGAACAGTAAAACCTGTGAAAAAATATTACACGTGATTTCAAACACATTCAAAATGCTAAATTGATATTTTTAATGAATTGTTATCAATTATACACAATTTGGATATAGTGAAGGGTTCCCTCATACTTTTACTGTATCTTGTAATTCTTATATTTTATTTATAAAGACCGTAGCTTGAGTAAAGTGAACGTTGGATAGTTGCCAGAGATCAACTGCAAAAGGGCATGGTTGCATTTCAGAAATATAAATGCAGTGAGCATTGTATGACCTAAAGAAGCCCCCCTCTACTAAAAACCCTCTCTACCAGTGCAGAGGAGGCAGGGATTGACAAGACCTGAGTTGCCAAGGCGTGTAACTGTGGAAATCTCTCTTTGTTTTTCAGCCCTGAAAATGAGTGCAGAATCTGTTTCAGAATCCTGAATGACCAAGTATTTGCTTATCTGACTTGAGATTCTTGAATTGAGGGCTGACTGGCGATGGTTTCGGTGGGCTTCATAACGAACAAAGATCCGAGGACATTTGGACGGGGGGGGGGGATTACGTGACAGACAGCATACTTATTTGTTATGTTTCTTGACTCATTTAATCAGGTTTCTACTTATGTCTCATGTCTGTAGATAAACACTCAATATAAAAGAGTAGTTACACAAGAAAATGCTCCCTTTATCTTAGCTCACATGTCCTACTCCAATAGTAACCTACACTCTGGTCAATGTATTATTTAATAATAATAAATCAATTTCAATCAATTGTTGTAAGGCAACATAATTTGAAAAATGTATTTTTTCCCCAGGTACTTAAGTATATTCTAAAGACATGTACCAGTGCATATAGAACATGCACATTCTTTAGCACAACACAATAATGAATAGACAGCTCCAAAGATGAGCACAGAATATAATTTTTTTTACAAAAATATACATTTTGTAGCATTTATCTGACATTGGCCCAATGTCCACACTCACAGACTCATAGACTTCGAAGCGCATTCTCGCTAAGGCTGTGAGGGCTTAATTGCGCGTAGCCTCTCTAGCAATCATTTTCAGCCCCATTCCCGCAAGATTCTTAACCTTTGTTACCATGGGCAACTGAGATATTTTTGCTGCCTCAGAGGATATTAGAAAGGTATACACAATTGAAAGATTGTGAAATTTAACAACAAATAAAAATAAAGTATATGTTGTAAACAGGTTTAATGGAAAATATTTATGTGGAGATATGTGGAGGAATGAGGTGCAGTGTCAGGCTGAACCGAGTTACGTTTTAGTCAATTTGCTCTTATCAGAATCAGGTTTATTTAGCCAATTCTGTTTACACATACAAGGAATTTGTTCTGACCCATAGCGGCAACATTTAAAACACACATTTTAAAAATGTATACAAACAGAGCAAAGAGAGAAAAATACAAAACATGAACAGGGAAAACAGACTCTTCCTTCTGGCAGATGGCTTTAGCCTGGACACTATTGGCTCTGATACAAATGACCATAGTGGACATTCTGTATTATAACTGGAAATTGCTCTTATTTTGCACAATTGTATATATAACTAGATATTGCTCTTTTGCACAATTTTGATCTTAAACCTGGACAATGCTCTTTCTTTTTCTGCAATATACTCACACATCTAGACATTGCCCATTTGCACTATTCAGAAATATATATTACACATTATTTATTTACCCAGTACATATGCCAACTAGGCTTTAATAAAAAAAACATTTCCCACATGCAGGAAAGGTCAAGATCAGCATGTAGAAAATTTTGAGCTCAAAGTTAGACACCCATTTAGTAACTACTAGTTGGAGGGACTGTGGATTTTTCCAAATCCTACACACTTCTACAGTTTTAGGTTTGCAGGCAGTCTAGTTATTGCAATGATTTGTCTGGGTCCTGACCCACGGGAGATTAATATTGGGTTGCCAATAGGATCGGCTCCAAAGGGGATTTGATCATTACCCCAACATACAACAAGCACTCGCAAATATTCTAAATCTCAGATGAAGAGCATGTCAACGAAGTGAGAAATGCTGCAACTACACGTTTTCTTTTATCAATTGACAGCTGATTTTTTTTAATGCCAACTGGCATGGATATAGAAGCGATAAAACCATTGCAAATAAAGTAACCAATTCCACACCGTTCTATAAGCTCAGTGGGAGAACCATGGAACGGGAGAATATTGCAAAGTGGTGGTAATATTATTTACATCTCCTGACTGTAAATATGTAAACATAATTTTATCATTCCCCAAATGCCTATAGCTTGGCAAAGCATGGCACATGACTTTGTTCTCATTTCTACTTTGTTCCATGTAAGTATTTACATGAAGGGCACTAGTCAGGGCCTTTATTTCTAGGCCATTATACAAACATTCAAAGCAATCATTGGGCTGGGCTGCCCTTACCATTAAGGATCCCAGACCATGTTTAACAGTTGGCAACAGACATTGTGGTGTGAAAGGCATCCAGTGGCTTTCTTCAAACATAAAACAAAACAGAATAAAAAAATAGGGTGATAGATTAATCATCCAACCATATAACATTTTCAGTTGTAAGTCAATGAGCAGAACAAAGCAAGGCATTTGGCAATGTAGTACTTAAAGAATGCAAACGGAATGGGAGCTTCTGGAAGGTGGCCGTCCAGTAGAAGTAAAGAAAATTGGGGCGTGCAAGCTCAACTAACTTTGCATCTCTGGAGCAAAGCCCCATTGAACTTTGGTACCTTTTCACCCTAAATCAATGACGTAACAGCCTGATTAACCAACTTGAAAAAACACTTGCACATTGAGTTGAAAATGAAGGGTAAGGAGGTAGCAGGGTTGTGTTCATATAGCTGCAGGTAATCAGAATACAAGGATTGCCAATGCTCAATCTCTCCCACAAGAAAGAGAGAAAGGCCCGCAATGCTACCGAAAATGTCTCAATGACAATGGCAAAAAGTAGAGGGGACATAGGGCAACCCTGCCTGGTTCCACGTTCCAGGGCAAAGTAGTCAGAGTGAGTGTCATTGGTACAGACACTAGCCTTTGAGGAAGCATACTTCAAATTCAGCAAATTCCATTCTATCGAAGGCCTTCTCTTTATGTTGGTTAAACCACAAGCACAGAGGAGCGTGGGACATTTCCAGGGGCGGAGCCAGAGGGGTGTCTGGGGTGGCACTGGACAGCCCAGACATCTGATTGGCCACCCCGGGTGCCACCCCAAAAATTGTATTCCCTATTGGCAGTTTGATGATGATTGACATCTCATTTGACCGCTTGTTGAAAGAAACATTTATTTTGATACGTTGCGGCAAGTTTTTTTAAATCGAGGACAAAGAGAGATCATTACCACATTTTCACGATTGAAAAATCATATATTTGTAAGTAAGTAAGTATTGTAGTGACTTGGGACCTGTTTATGTGTTAACGTTCCAAGTGTTTAAGTTGATAGTTCTGTGTTTGTAATCTCGCGGGGTTTGGGGGGTATTGATAGTTCTGTGTTTGTAATCTCTCGGGGTTTTGGGGGTATTTATAGTTCTGTGTTTGTAACCTCGCAGGGTTTGGGGGGTATTTATAGTTCTGTGTTTGTAATCTCGCAGGGTTTGGGGGGTATAAGAGGAGGTGACAGGAGTAGTTCGCTCTATATCCTTAGTGAAATGCCTGCTTGTCTGGGACTTGTGATGAGACGCTAGCAGCATTTGTATTGTTGAAATGGAGCCTACGTAGTTAAATATCAGAAATGGTGTAAACAAATAATGTTTAATAACACCTAAATTGTTACCTGGGGACATAGGGAGGGAAACATTTGCAGACAAAAATAAGTATGTAGTACCTCCCGTTTGACTTTTAGATGGCAATGGTGTTTGTCATATTGTAGCGACCCGAAATTAATATCCCTATATGGAGCAGTGGGTAGTGCACTCGGCTGCGGAGCTGTAGGGCGCTGGTTTGAGTCCCTGCTGGACGCTACAGTATCTTGATTTTGACCAGAGTAAATAGTGTAATATTTATGTTACTGAGTATGTAAATGTATTATTATTATTAATCATATAATGATTTATTATACTTGACTAACCAATAATGTCAAATTATTCACATTGCTAACACGTTTTTGTAGCACATGTGCAATGCAATGACAGACCTTCATTAAACTGGTCACTACCACTGCTATTTTGATTGAAAAAGATCTGTGTGTCCCCTTTTTTGGGTGTCATTGACTATTGTTATTATATTCAAGGGTTTTGTGAAGTTACCTTTTTGGACCACACCATCTGCTACATTGAAGAAATATGGGTTGAGGGAATTATTGCTTCTATCTCTAATCATCAATCATAGGATTTATTCATTCTACTTTTATGCCAGGTTAAAGGTTTAAATACTAACTTTCTGTCATTGTCTATGGACCCCCTGAAATAGCCTTGGACACCCCATGGCCACCCCATGTATAAAAGTCCAGTTCCGCCACTGGACATTTCGGAATAAATTATGTTGAATAATTAATCAATACCTTTGATAAAGCCGGTCTGTTTGTCCCAAATGACGCCTGGTAAGACGACCTCAAGACGCCTCACTATCAGCGTCGCAAGCACCTTAAGATCAACATTAAGGAGGCTCAGGGGCCTGAATGAGGAGCAGGAGCTGGGTTTCCTCCTCATCTTAAGAAGAAGTGCTATTGAAGCTTGTGTAAATGTCGCACAACACACAGTTCCAGTGACTAATTAAACATTGATAATAATAGAGGGGCCAGCTGGATGTGGAAAAAAAATTAGTTGAAAACCCGGCTGGGCTTGGAGCTTTAACCTTTATTAAACCAGGTAGGTCAATTAAAAACAAATTGTCATTTGCAACGGCGACCTGGAGAGAGCTGGAGATTGAACCCAGCACATTATACATACAAAGGATGCACTCTACCACTCAGCTACACCAACTGCTCCGTGTCAGATAAAACAATCTCCAGAGTCTCCAAGTTTAAAGTGAAGAATAGAAAGATGTGCAGGTGTCGTTAATCCCCTTAGGTATTAGAGGTGTCTTTGATTTGTGGAACAAGAGAATAGGCAGCACGGCAACTTTGCTGATACCCCAACAGACGGCTTGCCATGTTTATAGAATGTAGGCTGCAACTGCAGCGTCCTTGGTGGATAAAAGGTTGCATTCAGCAAGCAAGCATGTTTATTTATATAACACAATTCATACATAGAGGCAAATTCAATGTGCTTCACAAAGGAAAATAATAATAAAATACATGCATTTTATATTCATAGCAACCCATTTAAAACATTACATCTCAGTATTACCTGTATACATTTTATTCAACAGGTCTTCTGAACCTTTTCAGGTCTTTAGAACCTGGCCGGGAAGTCTTTAGAACTTCCAGCTATTAAGAACTTTATTGAAAAGTTCTTTGGAACCTTTTGAGGTTTCTAGAACAAGGCCGGGAAGTCTTTAGCACTTCCAGGTCTTAAGAACATTATTCAAAAGGTCTCTAGAATCTTTCTAGGTCTATATTAGACCAGTCTTTAGAACTTCAGATCTGTTATGTATACATTACAGGTTTTCATTTATGCCATGGATCAGAATAAAAACAAATGAAAACATCAAATGGGCAATTCAATGAGGAATAGAAAAAATATATATAATAACAATAATAACAAAATAATAACAAAAACAATGTTTTTAGCATGGCTTTAAAAATGGATACATTTGGGGCGCGTCTAAGATCTTCTGGTAATTTATTCCAGTTGCTTGCAGCGTAACTGCTGAATGCAGCTTTACCATGTTTAGTTTTGACTCTGGGCTCTACTAGCTGTCCTAAGTTCAATGATCAAAGAGCACTGCTTGGTTTATAATCTTCAAACATATCAGAAATGTATTTTAGGCCTAGTCTATACAGAGATGTATAGACTACTAGCAACACTTTAAAATCTATTCTGTAACTGACTGGAAGCCAGTGCAAAGATTTAAGAACAGAGTGATGTGTTCTGTTCTCTTAGTTTTTGTTAACATTCTAGCAGCAGCATTCTGAATGAGCTGCAGCTGTTTAACAGCCTTTTTGGAAAGTCCAGTTCAGTCCAGTCCAGAGCCCATTACAGTAGTCAACCCTACTGGAGATAAATGCATGGATTAGCTTCTCTTGGTCTTTTTTTTAATCCAGGTCCTTGATTATGGCGATATATTCCAGATGATATAATGCTGTTTTGGTAACCGCTTTGATATGACTGATGAATGTGAGATCTGAGTCTATCATTACACCTAGATAACACAATTGGTCCGTGGTTTTTAGGGCTTGAAAATCAATTTTTCCCCTAATATTAGTTCTTCTATTTTTGTTGCCATACTCTGTTTTTTTTGGCTTAATTGTATAATTTTGGTTCATCCAATCATTTATGTGCTCTATACAGTGATACAGTGAGTCTATTGAGCTGCATTATGGTTCTAGTGCCATATATATCTGAGTATCATCTGCATAACTATGGTAGTTAATGTTGTTGTTCCGTAAAATTTGGCCCAGAGGTAGCATATAGAGATTGAACAGAAGTGGTCAGAGAATTGATCCCTGGGAAATTCCATGTCATAGCCACCTTATCAGATTCATGATTGCCTATGGTGACAAAGTAACTCCACCATCTAAACAAGACCTGAACCAATTAAGAACTGTCCCGGAGAGTCCTACCCAATTGTCCAGCCTATCCAGAAGTGTTATATGATCTAGTATGTCAAATGCAGCACTGAGATCTAATAGAACCAAAACTGTCATTTTATCCGAATCAGTGTTCATTCATATATAATTTAAAACTGTTATCAAAGCCATTTCAGTACTATGGTGAGGTCGGAAGCCTGATTGGAATTTGTCTAAAAGACAAAAATAGTTTTAAAGTCTGATGTTAGTGTGTCAAGAAAACACGTGGCAGCTTTAAGATGTCCAACTGTTTCTTCAAGAGTTTTAATTGTGACATAACAGATGTTATGAAGTCATTTCTTGATTGCTTGTGGTGGCAATGCAGAGTCATTTTTTGACTGTGAAGTTATGATGGTCTGCCTAGTACTTTGGATGATTTTTTCACTGAAGAAACTAGCAAATTCATTACATTTCACACTGGATAAAAGTTCAGGTTCTATCTGCTTTGGGTGGTTGGTGAGCTTGTTGACCATGGCAAACAGAGTGCGGGTATTGCATAACTCAAGGCTGAATCTAGAAAGGTTTTGTTTATACCGTTGATGTCATTGTGGATTTGAAGCCTATTTTTTCTCCACTTACGTTCAGCATTCCTACATTCTCTTTTAAGGGTGTTAACCATGGTGCTTCTCCATGGAGGTTTGTGTTTTATTTGAGTTCTCTTTACCCTTACCGATACGATACATGACATTCAATATTTCCCATTAAAATTCCCCAGGAGTGGTTTAAGTTTGTCAACTGACCCTGCACTTATTGTTGGTGAGGCAGCTATGGCCTCCAAAAACTGAGCATTGGTTCTCTCATTGATGTGCCTTAACAGTAACAGAGTTTACTTGAACATCCGGGGTAATCAATGGAAGAGTGTGGTGGCAGAGGATGAGTGTGGTGAAGGGGGATAGGGGGGGTCGTCGTGCCCCAGCTCGGGACAAGGAGAACTTCTGGAAGCAGTGAGTTATTTGGGTTAGAAAGTCAGGTGAGGGGGGATGGATCCTCTCTCTATGTGCACTGTCCTTCATGCTTATCTTGTTTAGAAATGGCATTCCAAGAGCGTGACGTAGGTTGATGCCAAGCAGCATGATGTTTTGATGAACCCAATCGGGTCTAAAGCGGTCTTTACCGTTCCAAAAAAGATTTAAATTGTCAATGAATTTTATCCTGTAGTTGAGGGAGGCCGATGTCAGCCATGAATTCAGTCCAAGAAGTCTGCTAAAAGATTAAATTCCTTTCCCCAAGGTTGGAATGGGCCCTGAGATGAAAACATCTTGCGCTTGAGAGTAACTTTCTAGTTTGCTAGTTTTGTGATTAGCTTCCCCAGGTTCATCTACACCCATTTTGTTCCGAGACAGTGGGTCGTACCTGTTTTGCAGTAAGAGTTCAGGTGGTGGGGTGAGCATAGGTGCTCTCTTGTTTAATTTCTTGCTGGATTTCCCTCTGCATCCGTGCTGTGCCAGTTAAGATATGTCATTAGGGAAGGCTGGTTTGGAGGCTTCTGTGGTTAATCCAGTGGCGTTAGAACATGTCCAGGGGAGCTGTCAGCCAGGTCCGTGACAGGGTGCTCTAGATTTAATGAAATCCTGTGAATAACAATCTGTGTCTGTCCGTTAACATTTGGTAGCTCAACACCTAAAGTAGCTGCTACAAAGTCAATGTATTGTTCATTTCCCTGTATCATCAGTTGTGTCTGCGTTCAGTCAAGCCTTGAGAAATCCATTGGCTCTCTAGCCTTAGGTCTGCCTGTTGTGCTTTATTGGTGTTTGCATTTGTAGACTTACTTTCTGCATAGGACCCAGAGTTTGACTGGAGGAGCGCTCGGGTCACTAAATCTTCTAGACGGTAATCCGTTTCTCAAACACCTCTCCTAACTCGTAATAATATATGGGTAACCGCATCGCAAATTTGTTTGCTTTTTCAAAGTCAGGACTTAAAGCAGCAAAAAAAAGAAATAAACATTCAAAATTAACCAATAAACCAAGGTAAGATTAACTCAAAGCGAGCCAGCAAATAAAACAGTTAGAAATGTAAAGGTAAAAGCATAAGAAAGTAAAAATGAGAGAGCAGTAGAAAGCGATGTTGTCTTGGGGATATTTTGTCCACCCCCTTTCGATCTTCAAATATAACAAACGAGAATATAATTCATGACAAATTTGTTTATTTATTTTTTGACTGGACAGACCAACTACATTAATGATGACAAGAGCTCTAGACGACTGACATAAAATATGTGCTATTAAAACATGCAATACAATAGTGCTGGCATATTTAACACATGCAAACAACACCTAAACAAACAACCCTGTTGACATTTAGATGAGATAGACATAATATGCCAAAAAATTGTTGGGTCTTCAGTATTATTTGTATTTTGATGAACAAAGTTTCAATAATATTAGATAATTAAGCACCTGCTTGCTTTTCACACCTTGCTTTTTTGCAAAGGCGGAGAGTTCAAAGACAAATATTTTCTTTTACATTGGGATTTCTCATCCACATGGCAATTACAACCAGATGATTTACTTATGGACAAAACTATGGTAAAATAATTTCTTAATGAGATGGAAAGGAACAAGCAAAACTTGTTTTCGGGGTTTTATTTTATAACTGGATAACTTCACAAATAATAATGTTGCATGTGTTAGCGATATATTTAGGAATGGGAGGAGGCAATCAGCCAGTCATTTGAATAGACAGAAGTTGGAACACCTTGTCCCAGGACCACTTCTTGTTTTGGAAGCACAACTTATTGAGGAGCTCCCAAACGATGCAATACTAGCTTAGCCGAGACCTATACCAGAATGCTAATATACTACCATTTCTGAATGATTTGAATGAAAACACCTTCATAGTGTCTCCATAGTCTATATAAATGACATAGTTGTCAGTCTTCCACTTTGCGAGCGGGCCTGCAGAATGTCCAGTGGTGCTCAACCGTATTCTCATTGGCTCGCTCACTCATATGATGCACTCGTGTGTTCCTTATAGTGAAACCCTGCTTCATAATGTAGTCCATGAGGTGAACCCGGAGGGACACTTCCTGGTGATAGTCACAAGGTCCAAATGTGAACGACACCTGGAAGTCTCTGGTGTCCATCATGTGTTTATTCCACTTGGTAAAGTTTTTACAGATGCCCTCCAGCAGTGCATGGACCTTGGTCGTTATAGTAAGCTGCGTGATAATGACGGCCACCGGGTTGGAATATTTGGAGAGCTTCCTCGTGCTGGACAGCTCCACCACCTGCTCAAAAATGTCCAGGGGAT